CCCTGCTCCTTGAGGAGCAGCCCCTCCTCCTACAGGACCTCCTGGACCAGGAGCGTCAGGAGCAGCAGCAGCAGAAACAGATGCAGGCCCTGATCAGACAGAGGTCCACCTCAGACCCCCTGTTCCCCAACATGGGTAAGACTTGGACCCCGACAGACTTGGACCCTGAGTCCTGTTGATGTTGTTGGTTTCATCTGTTTCTACATTTTCCTCTGTGTGTGTGTGTCTGTGTGTGTCTGTGTGTGTCTGTGTGTGTCTGTGTGTGTCTGTGTGTGTCTGTGTGTGTGGCTGTGTCTGTGTGTGCGCAGCAGACTTTGACTCCATCTCTGACCCCATCATGAAGGCTAAGATGGTGGCTCTGAAGGGCATCAACAAGGTGATGACTCAGGGCAACCTGGCACTGAACCCCATGGTCATTAACAGGTACGACCCCTGACCCCTGAAGACTCAGCTGGAGCAGATGGTGTATGATTTTATTTTCTGTTTTAAAATCTTTTGGAACAAAAATGATGTATGATCTTTTTTCACAGCAGTTAAATATTGAATTAGAATAATGAAAGTTTAATATTTTATTCAGTGTTTCATATTTTCGTGACTGAAGCTCTTTAAGCTCATTGATTTCACATGTTGAGGTGCGTCCATCGTGGCCGTGGTGTAGTGATGTTGTTGTGATGACATGTCTTTGCTGTGTGAAGTCTTGAACTTGTTCTCCTGTGTGTCAGTGTCCGGTTCCAGCAAGCTCCGGCTCCGGGGGCTCCGGGGGCTCCGGGGGCTCCGGGGGCTCCGGGGGCTCAGGGGGCTCCGGGGAACGAAGGGACTCCTCAGCCTCCACAGCTGCTTGAACAGGTATGTAGACCGTCCTCATTGATGTGAGGCTCCATGTCACGTCTCATGTGTCTGCTGACGTCTCACCGTCTTCTCCTATGTCAGGACGCCAAGGTGAACCCTCAGCTGGTGCGGCCCAACCCCCCCAGCTTTGGCCCAGGCTTCGTCAGTGAGTATCAGAAATGTATTGGGAAATGATTGGTAATCAGAGAAACACGTAACTCCACTCAGAAGTAAATCCTTGTAAAACAGGATGGAAGACTTCGTCATACAATGAGGTGGTAAAAACACACATGTATCAATATGTGGTGAAGCACACACTGCTCTGGAAGGTTTCAGTCCTGTAGTTACTATGGTAACAGCATATGTGGTTTAATGCTATCGGTACTACTACTAATACTATGGTCACATCTGCAGCTGCTCACCTGTCTGAGCAGCTGCAGGTGTGACACCTCTCACCTGCTCCTCACTCTTCACCGTTATTGGCTCCAGACTAGTTGTGATGTCATAAATGGGGTAGGTGTTAAGGAGGTCATAGAAGCTTCCGTGGTTCACGCTAGTGTTCTCCGCAGACGAGTCTCAGCGACGTCAGTATGAGGAGTGGCTGGGGGAGACGCAGCGCCTCCTGCAGATGCAACAGCGCCTCCTGGAGGACCAGATCGCCGCCCACCGCAAGACCAAGAAAGCTCTCTCTGCAAAGCAGAGAACGGCCAAGAAGGCAGGCCGAGCGTTTGCAGAGGAGGACGCCGCCCAGCTCCGCTACATCACTGAGCAGCAGGGGGCGGTCCAGAAACAGCTGGAGCAGGTACACACACACCTGGAGACTCATTTATCACCTGTGGGCATAAAACAAATGAATACAACTTAATAGTCAGTAACAGTCAGAGGAACGGTCAGTGGAACAGTCTTAATAACAGTAGGAGGAACAGTCTTAATAACAGTCAGCGGAACAGTCTTAATAAGACTGTTCCGCTGACTGTTCCTCTGACGGTTCCGCTGACTGTTCCTCTGACGGTTCCGCTGACTGTTCCTCTGACGGTTCCGCTGACTGTTCCTCTGACGGTTCCGCTGACTGTTCCTCTGACGGTTCCGCTGACTGTTCCTCTGACGGTTCCGCTGACTGTTCCTCTGACGGTTCCGCTGACTGTTCCTCTGACGGTTCCGCTGACTGTTCCTCTGACGGTTCCGCTGACTGTTCCTCTGACGGTTCCGCTGACTGTTCCTCTGACGGTTCCGCTGACTGTTCCTCTGACGGTTCCGCTGACTGTTCCTCTGACGGTTCCGCTGACTGTTCCTCTGACGGTTCCGCTGACTGTTCCTCTGACGGTTCCGCTGACTGTTCCTCTGACGGTTCCGCTGACTGTTATTAAGACTGTTCCTCTGACTGTTAATAACAGTCAGAGGAACAGTCTAAATAACAGTCAGCGGAACAGTCTTAATAACAGTCAGAGGAACAGTCAGAGGAACAGTCTTAATAACAGTCAGCGGAACAGTCTTAATAAGACTGTTCCGCTGACTGTTCCTCTGACTGTTATTAACACTGAGAGGAACAGTCTTAATAACAGTCAGCGGAACAGTCAGAGGAACAGTCTTAATAAGAGTGTTCGGCTGACTGTTATTAAGACTGTGCGGCTGACTGTTAATAACAGTCAGAGGAACAGTCAGCGGAACAGTCTTATTAAGACTGTTCCGCTGACTGTTATTTAGACTGTTCCTCTGACTGTTATTAAGCCTGTTCCGCTGACTGTTCCTCTGACTGTTATTAACACTGAGAGGAACAGTCTTAATAACAGTCAGCGGAACAGTCAGAGGAACAGTCTTAATAAGAGTGTTCGGCTGACTGTTATTAAGACTGTGCGGCTGACTGTTAATAACAGTCAGAGGAACAGTCAGCGGAACAGTCTTATTAAGACTGTTCCGCTGACTGTTATTTAGACTGTTCCTCTGACTGTTATTAAGCCTGTTCCGCTGACTGTTCCTCTGACTGTTATTAACACTGAGAGGAACAGTCTTAATAACAGTCAGCGGAACAGTCAGAGGAACAGTCTTAATAACAGTCAGCGGAACAGTCAGTGTGTTTTGTGTCCAGATCCGGAAGCAGCAGAAGGACCACGCGGAGCTGATCGAGGACTACGTGACCAAGCAGCAGCAGCAGCAGCAGCAGCAGCAGAGAGCTCTGCAGCAGCAACCACCACCTGCTGCCCCCCCCATGCTGCCTGCAGGAGTGCCCCCCATTCCCCAGACCCTGCTCCCCCAGCCCATGGTGCCCATGCAGCCGCATCCAGGCGGCCCCACCCCAGCCTGCGTCCCTAATGTCCCTCCTGGTTGGACCCCAGGGGGCGGGGCTCCAGGGGTGATGGGGCAGAGGATTCCACCTCATCTGCCCCCTCAGATGCCACCCACCCTGCCTAACCCCCCCCAGGCTTCCCCACATACCCAGACCCCTCAGGTCATGGTGCCCAACCTCGCTCCTCCAACAGCGGCCTTCAACACAGGCCCCAGGGCCCCCCCTGGAGGGCCCAATGTAGCAGCAGGAGACGGAGCCACCCCCACACCTCAGGTAACACACCTGGAATCACTGACCAACTCTCATCTTCATCTGTGATGATGATGATGCGTTTGATTTTCTCTGTCCAATCTGTTGGGCCCTGAACACACCACATGTAGAGTCAGACACCCAGTGACAATCAATCAATCAATCAATCAGTTGTCAGGAAATACTGAGAAACGAGAATGTGTTTCCTCAGTTTTCACTTCAAACACTAATCAATCAACATTGTTGTAGATCAATCAGCTGATTGATCGTTGCTTATCAAGCTGTAACTCCGATCAAAGTGATCAACTCGTCCATGTTGCCTTGTTTTCCCGATAAATCAGCCTGATCAGTGTCTGATCGTCTGTACTAGAGATTCAGCTGATCAGCTCTGCTCTGATCAATGAAGCTGCAGAGTGTTTCCTCACTTATTGATCGTTAACAGACCTTGTTGTCTCCACCACTGCAGGTGAAGTTTGACGACAACAACCCGTTCAGTGAAGGTTTCCAGGAGCGGGAGCGGAGGGAGCGGCTGAGGGAGCAGCAGGAGAGGCAGAGGGTCCAGCTGATGCAGGAGGTAAACCCCCCACCCCCCACCCCCACACCAGCAGCAGCAGCACACACACTCACTCTGCTCCTCCTCTGCTCTCAGGTGGAGCGTCAGCGGGTGCTCCAGCAGAGACTGGAGCAGCAGAGCCTCCTGGGAGCCGGAGTCACAGCCGCGCCTCCAGCTGGAGCTCGGGTCGGGCAAACATCTGGACCTGGTCCTGTGGGGGCAGCACCTGCCCCGGGCGGGGACAGCCTCTCACAGATGCCTTTCTTCAGCTCTGAGCTGCCCCAGGACTTCCTCCAGTCCCCCCCGGCCACCAGACCTCCATCGCAGCACCAGGGCCAGGTGGGGGCACCGTTCCCCCAGCAGGTGGGCCTCCACCAGGGCTTCACAGGACCCCTGCACCCTGGACCGCTCCCGGCTTCAGGTCTGCAACCTGGTGTCACAGCAGAACGCAGCAGGGCCTTGCCTGAACATGGACCCCCCATGGACGTGGCTCCTTCAAACCTCCAGACCAGACTGAGGCCCCCGGGCCCCGCTGGGCCCTCCATCCAAGGACAGGTACGCCCAGCTGGGATCGGCGCTGCAGGAATGACCCCCTCCCATCCTGGGGGTCAGGGTCATCGATTTGGACACGACTCCTCCTCTTCCTCCCCGTTGAACCCCCTCCCCCCCTCCTTCCCCTGCTCCTCTGGAGGCCCCTCCTCCCTCATCCAGCTCTACTCTGACATCATCCCTGATGACAAACCAAAGAAGAAGAGGACCAGGAAGAGGGAGGGAGACGACACCATGGGGGGAGGGGGAGCCAGGACGCCCCTGTCCTCCCACTCTGATGACATCACTGCCCCGCCCACCCCAGCGGTCTCTGACACTTCCTGCTCCACGCCCACTCGGGGCAGCCTGGACCAATCAGACGCCTTTCCTGGTCTGGCCCCATCGTCCGAGTTGGAGAGGCAGCTGTCGGTCAGCTCTGCAGCCCAGCAGAGAGCCTCTGTCCTGGGCATGGAGTGTCAGCGGGGCCCCCTGTCTGCGGCTCGTCTGGAGGTCAAGGTTGGAGATTTTAGTTTCATATTGTGACACATTCCGTTTGTTTGCTGCAGGACTCACTGTGTGCCTCTTTTTCCCTGCAGGAGGAGTGGGAGGAGGGCGGAGCTTGTGGGGGTGGTGTGGTTAAGATGGAGGAAGGGGGGGGGGAGGGATTCTCCTCCCCATCCCCTCTCCAAGGGGGAGGTAAAGACGGAGACGGTGGGAAGGAGCTGCTCAGACACCTGCTGAAGGACAAGACCTCACCGGCCTCCACGCCATCACCCACCAGCCAGGCCACAGCCACTACCTGCCACCAGCTGTCCAATGAGAGCGCCCGGTCCGAGGAGGATGACAGGCCTGGTTCCCATAGCAACATGGTGAGGAAGGGGGTCACGATTTTTGTGACAAAATTTTTACTAATTTTGATAATTTATAAATGTAAGGTGACTCCTCAGGTGACGTGTCCTCAGGTGACGTGTCCTCATCTGACTTGCTGACAAGTGACGTGTCCTCAGGTGTGTTGTTACAGCAGTTACCGGTTCACCTGTCTTCTGTCCTCCTCCAGGTGACCATGGACAGTCCAGGTCCAGACCTGCTGGACTCCTCGGGTAGGAAGAAGACTCAGCGCTGTAAGAGACTGTCCCGTCCCGAGAAGGACCGAGCTCCTCCCAAATACAAGAGGAGGAAGAAGGAGGAGGAGGAGAAGACGCTCCACTCCTCCTCTGACCCTCTGATGACTCACCTCAGACAGGTACACCAACCACTCTGAACTCCAGTCTGCAGTCGTCATTAATGACAGCTAATTACCTGTATTGATTATGGATCACCCCCCACCCACCCCACCCCCCAGCTGTCGGTGCTGCCCCTGATGGAACCGGTCCTGGGGGTGGATCTGAGTCTGTTCCCCCCATACGGCAGCTCCTCGCTGGGCAGAGACTCCAGACTGACGGGCTCCTTTGGGAATGGCTGTCTGGACGGAGTCACCGACTACTACTCCCAGCTCATATACAAGGTACTACTACTGCAGTAACTACTTCCCAGCTCATATACAACAGGTACTACTCCTGCAGTAAACTGTTCTCATTTCTAATTCTGCGATTAACATTTTCTCTCTCTCTCTCTCTCTCTCTCTCTCTCTCTCATCTCTCTCTCTCTCTCTCTCTCTCTCTCCTTTTCTTCTTTCTCTCTTCTCTCTCCCCCCAGCAGAATAACCTCAGTAACCCCCCCACACCTCCGGCCTCCCTGCCCCCACCCCCCCCGCCTGTTGCCAGGCAGAAGTTAGTGAACGGCTTCGCCACGACGGAGGAGCTGACCAGGAAGGAGATCACAGAGCAGGACGGTAAGAAGACATGTCCAGATGTGGACACATCTGGACATGTGCTTTCATGAGCAGCACAGTGGATGAAGATGGTGTCAGTTTATCCGTCCACATACTTTTGTTCAAACACGGAAACAAAGGTTTTTACAGTCTAACTGTTTTTACCTCAGTGAAAGGTGTGTCAGGTCTGAAGCAGAAAGGGGAGGAGCTTCTGGCTTTAAACCATGCCTCCAAGACAGTAGACGTCCCCGCCTCCCTGCCGACCCCACCCCACAACAACCAGGAGGAGATCAGGTAAACTCCGCTTACTGACAACACCTCAGGACTCAAAGTTCAAATCTGTGTTTTAAACTTTATTCACAAATGACATGTACAGAAGAAATAAGACACAGGACCAGGTGTACCTGACAGAACCAGGTCTCACGATGTTTCAGGGGAAACATTCGTACAGAATTACAAGGATTATTATCTCAAACTCAGTGTGTGTCATGTTAAAGAGTTTAAAGTTTACTCGAATATTCTGAGAAGATGAATTACTTCTTCTGTTGCTCTGACTCCTCCTTTTCTTCTTCTTCTTCTTCTGTTGCTCTGACTCCTCCTCTTCTTCTTCTTCTTTTGCTCTTACTCTTCTTCTTTGTGTGTTTTCCTCCTCAGGGTCCAGGACTCGTCGGAGCGGGACAGCCCAGACGGCTTCGTCCCGTCGTCGTCTCCAGAGAGCGTGGCGGACATGGAGGTCAGCAGGTACCCTGACCTCTCCTTCATCAAGCTGGAGCCACCCTCGCCCTGTCCCTCGCCCACAATACCCATCATGCCCTGCGCCTGGGGAAAAGGTCAGTCATGTTTTTCACATCTGCAGTTTCCTTCCTGTCTCTGTGTCATCAGGACGCTGTTCTCTGCTTTGAATAAACTTTATTGAGTTCAGTGTGAACGCAGAGGAATTCATTTTGTTTGTGCTGACATGTTGTAAGAATTAAAAACGTGTGTGTGTGTTTGCACGTGTGTCCAGGCTCTGCAGTGAAACAGGAAGTGAAGGCGGAGCCTAACCATCAGGATCCTCCCTCCTGCTCCAACACAGACCTAGTTACCATAGCAATAACCCTGAACCCTGTGGCAGCTCAGGTAAACACCTGTGGTCTCTGCAGAAACAAAGAGTTCTTTATTTTGGGAGTGGGGGGTGTGGTGGGGGCGAGCTCGTTCATAATGGTATTAATGATTAAATTATATAGTTATATATATTATATAATCTTCAGTGAAATGAAAAGTTGTGATCCTGTGTTAATGGTGTTAAATGTGTCATTAAATGATGTCAGTCATGACTCATCCTGCACGCAGCGTCGGTTGCGGTGGTTGCAGTTGTGTCTGTCACTGTTTAAACTGATGCACTGATGTTACTCTCTGTGGAGCTGAAGACACTGACAGTGACTGTCATGAGTAGCCCCTCCCTCCTGGTGACATCACTGTGTTTCCAGAATGTTGCAGGTGTGATGGCGGCGGTGGCGGAGCTGCTGAGGGTCCCGGTCCCCGTCAACTACCAGCTGAGCCAACCAGCCGGCCCCGAGCGCAGCTCCCTGGCTCTGTTGGCCGGAGTAAGAGTGCCACTGACTCAGGTAGGAGCTCATCACGGGGGGGGGGGGCACATGACTCTTTTAACTGCTGACTGAACTGATGACGATAGTGATGATTTTGTGTGTGTGTGTGTGTGTGCAGGGTTCAGCAGGCAGCAGACAGCAAAGACCTCCACCTGGACACACAGGTCTGTACACACTCTTCTTCTGCTCTTGTTTCTGTTGCCACCTCCTCACAGGTGTGATTGACAGCTCTCTGTGTCCTCTGTTTTCCCTCCAGGTGTCAGGATGGACTACAACCAACATGGCGGCTCCCCTGCTGCTGCCAGGCCTCAGTGTTGCAGCTACTGCAAGGTGCTACTGGGAAATGGAGTCCGTGTGGTCAAAGAGCTCAAACAGGTGAGACTGAGCAGATGACTGAGAGAAGCTGAAATGACAGAGTGGGACAGGAAGTCACTGTGTGTGTGTGTGTGTTTGTGTGTGTGTGTGTGTGTGTGTGTGTGTGTGCGTGTGTGTGTGTGTATGTGTGAGACAGGAGGGACAGTCCAGACCAGGGTCCAGCCTGGTGTTCTGCAGTCCACACTGCTCTGCTCTCCACACATCGGACCCCCAAAGCAGAGCTGCAGGAAACAAGGTGAGAGAGCATATCACATTATCTATTACTGGTTATTGACCAGGAGCAGCAGCTGTGTGGATGTTGTTGTTGTTGATGACATCATAATGTTTGTCTCTCGGTTCATCCTCAGTCTGTGGTCCCCGTCTTGCTGACCAGCTCTGAGCGCCCCCCTCCCTGCTTAGTGACGCACCAGTACACCAACAACATGTCCTCCATCGCTGTGCACTCCCTCCCCCAAGCTCCCCCCTCACCTCCCCCTGCTTCCTCCTCCTCCTCCCCAGCACTCTCCTTCCCCCCCGCCTCTGCCATTACCATGGAGACCAGGCCCCGTATGGACAGCCTGAAGGTGGGTGTGGCCACTGACTGGATGATCAAAGGTAATATTTTATCAGCTGGCTGACTGATAGTCGACCAACTCTGATTGGTTTATAGGTGAAGGTGAAGTTGAAGCCCCGCCCCCGCGCGGTTCCAGGTGGGGAGGACTTGTCTCGGCATGTGAAGAGGATGAAGAGTTCCCGCTGGAGACGCTGGAGCATCAGCATCACACTTAGCCGGTTAGCATCACACTGAGCTAGTTAGCATCACAGTGTGGTAGTTAGCTGTTTAGCATTTCCCGTCTCTTTTTTTTTTACCCAGGGGTCCTTGCATCCCTAACGAGGCAGTTGCCTTGCCAACCGATGAGGAAGTTGACATACTGTTTAAAAAGTTGGGGGTGTGTCTTCGTCCCGACCCGTTACCAAAAGATCAGCGAAGGTGCTGCTTCTGTCACCAGCAGGGAGATGGACAGACGGACGGACCGGCCAGACTACTGAACCTGGACCTGGACCTGTGGGTGAGTGTACTGGGCCCCTGGTCTGGACCAGCAGTCTCTCTGACAATAGTCTGGACCAGCAGAGTCTCAGGTACTGACCTTTCCGTCACTGTGTCTCAGGTCCACCTGAACTGTGCTCTGTGGTCCAGCGAGGTCTACGAGACGCAGGCTGGTGCTCTGATCAACGTGGAACTGGCTCTGAGACGAGGTCTGACTCTGCGCTGCGCTCACTGTCAGCACACCGGCGCCACGAGCGGCTGCAACCGCCTCCGATGCACCAACACCTACCACTTCACCTGCGCACTGCAGGCCCACTGCACCTTCTTCAAGGTAACACTGCAACACACTAACACAGTGTAACACACACACACACACCAGCTCAGGTGGCGTCTCACTGTCTCTGCTCCTCCAGGACAAGACGATGCTCTGTCACCTCCATAAGCCCAGGACGGTTCCTCTCAGCGGGGACAGGTCTTCCAGCGGCTCCCCCTCCTCCACTCCAGGACCGACCCCTGACCTTGCGGCGATGGTGGCCACTGACCCGTACGACTCGGAGCTGCGCTGCTTCGCCGTGTTTCGACGAGTGTACGTGCAGCGGGACGAGGCGCGGCAGATCGCCGCCGTGGTGCAGCGCGGTGAGCGGCAGCACACCTTCCGAGTCGGCGGCCTTTTGTTCCGCGCCATCGGCAGGCTCCTCCCTCAGCAGATGAAGGCCTTCCACAACCAGACCGCCATCTTCCCCGTTGGTTACCATGCCAACCGCATCTACTGGAGCATGCGCCACAGCAGCAGGTAAAGTCTGTTGCTTCTAAGCACATACTGACAGGGCTCTGACGGGTGATGATCACACATCAATGATGACGGTTCTGTCCTCCAGACGCTGTAAGTACATGTGCTACATCGAGGAGAAGGAGGGTCAGCCGATGTTTAAAGTGAAGGTGGTGGAGAAGGGACATGATGACCTCATACTGACCGGACCAACACCTAAAGGTAAAAACAGGAATGTGTCTGACATTATTGAAGCTCGTTTCACCGTCTCTGACTCATCATGTTGCAGCTCACTGACGTTCAACCTGTTAGTTGTTTCCTCTGTGAAGAAACAGTGTCATTACTGTTGTTTGTACAGACGGTAAACAGATCACATGATGACAGCAGACATGAAGAGATGTGTACATTATATAACAAAGACAGTTAAATTAAATGTATGCACCTATCAGAATAGAAACACTATATCTGAACAAGTCTGTCTGTCTGTCTGTCTGTCTGTCTGTCTTCAGCTGTGTGGGACCAGATACTGGAACCAGTATCACAGATGAGATCCTCCAGTGGGACTCTGAAGCTCTTCCCAGTTTACCTGAAAGGAGAAGATCTGTTCGGTCTGACCTCATCTGCAGTGACCAGGATCATCGAGTCTGTATGTAACACACACACACACACACACACACGTTCAGATACTAAATCCAGACTCAGACTGACTGTGTGTGTGTGTGTGTGTGTGTGTGTGTGTGTAGTTGCCAGGTGTGGAGGCCTGTGAGCGTTACACCTTTCGTTACGGCAGGAACCCTCTCATGGAGTGGCCCCTGGCCTTCAACCCGTCGGGCTCGGCCCGCTCTGAACCCAAAGCCTGTCAGGCCAAGAGGTAATCTCCCCGATCAGTCCATTGATCCATCAGCTGGCTGGTGACCAATTAGTTGTGACTTTTTGTCCTTGATATCCTGTAATGATGTCGTGTCTGTGTTGTACCTGGTCAAAGGTTTTGAGGTGAACACGAGTAAAATCCCAAAACACCTTTAAGTTATGATTTCCCTTAAATAAAAACACCTTAAGTCTTCTTCTCAAGGTTCCACCTGGAACCACTGAGGAAAGACCGACCAAACCACCGCTGTGTGTTGGTTCAGTTGTCATGACAACTGACTGACAGGTCATAGTAACACTGATACATTTGACAACGAAGAAACAGCTGGAGAAACAGCTGTAGATCCAGGAAGTTACAGGTGATCTGGATCAGACTCTCTCTCTCTGGCAGACCGAACCTGCTGACCAGCATCGCTGCCAGGTGTCAGGGCTCGGTGGGCTCCATCGTAGGCCTCGTCCCCGGCGTCATCTCTCTGTCTCCAGGTGAGTCTGTGGCGGGAGCACACCAGGGACGCCACTCCAAGTCCTCGCAGTACCGACGCATGAAGGCCGAGTGGAAGAGCAACGTGTACCTGGCCCGCTCCCGCATCCAGGTGAGACACCTGCACCACAGGCTGAACACAGGTACTGACTGATGGACAGGTCACTGATTTTGTGTGTGTGTGTGTGTGTGTGTGTGTGTGTGTGTGTGTGTGTGTGTGTGTGTGTGTGTGTGTGTGTGTGTGTGTGTGTATGTGTGTGCAGGGTCTGGGTCTGTACGCTGCCAGAGACATTGAGAAATGCACCATGGTCATCGAGTACATCGGCACCATCATCAGGAGTGAAGTGGCCAATCGCAAGGAGAGGCTGTACGAGTCACAGGTAACACACACACACACACACTTTGCAACAAAACATCAGAAATAACAGCAGATACAGAGAAGAGAACCTGAAACACAATATACTGATGTGTGTGTGTGTGTGTGTGTGTGTGTGTAGAACCGTGGTGTGTACATGTTTCGGATCGACAACGACTATGTGATTGACGCCACCATCACTGGAGGACCTGCCAGGTGAGTCCAGCTCAGACTTGTTTGGTCCTTATTGATTATCTATGGATCAGTGTTCTGGAGATGAACCCTCCCTCTGTCTGTGATTGACAGGTACATCAACCACTCCTGTGCTCCCAACTGCATCACAGAAGTGGTGTCTGTGGAGAAGGAGAACAAGATCATCATCAGCTCCTGCAGACGCATCCAGAGAGGAGAAGAGGTATGACACTCAGTCAGTCAGTCAGTCAGTCAGTCAGTCACAGCAGAACAAGGACTCCTGTCTCCAGCTGTTAGCGGGCTAGCTGTCTAACTGCTAACATGGTCTGGTTGTTAATCTAACTAGAAGCTGATGGACTACATTCACACGGCGAAGCCTCAAACTCAAACTCTTAAATGTCTGAATGAATCCTGTAAGTCGTCGTTGTTTATTTCACTTTCCTCTGACCAGATCGATAAATTTTACAGATGTTGAAGGAGAAGACACTGGAAACACTGAAGCTAATGCTAGGCTAGCAAACATGAAGTTGGCAATTAACATAAATGTCAGAGTTAGCGCTTCTAAAGTTGTCAGATGACACATGAATCCACTGGTTAAACATGAACTAATGTCTGGTTTCATAATCAACCTGCATCAATGATAGTCACATGACAGAGGAGCGTCACTGCTAACTTCACCAGGTGAAGAGCTAGCAGGGCAGCTAATGCTACATGGCTAGCTTGATTCCATCCAGTGTTTCACTTCCAGACTGAACTAAACATGTCTGAGCTCTGTGTTGATGTTTGATTCTTTTCTCTCCTCTTGTATCACGCGGCTCTGTCAAACTGCAGCTGAGAAGTGGTTGATGCTAACGTTAGCTGTGGCTAATGGGTTATCACACCTTTACCTTGAAATAAGAGTCGACGTCTCATCAGAATTTCATCATCCATCATCTTTTCTGTTGCTCATCGATCGTGAAGCATCAAAAGAAACGATCCGTCAGAGTCTCAGTGTTTATATTATTATATTTATATTAAATTACATCATCATCATCCTTCAGTGACAGAGCCTGAGCGTGACGTCAGAGGAAAATGGTCGCCGTGTGAATATGGTCAATAAGTGACAGTGAAGCAGGATTCACCTCTACAGTCAGCACACTGATCTCTCTCTCTCTCTCTCTCTCTCTCTCTCTCTCTCTCTCTCTGCCCCCCCCCCAGCTGTCCTATGACTATAAGTTTGACCTGGAAGACGATCAACATAAGATTCCGTGTCACTGTGGAGCCGTCAACTGTCGCAAATGGATGAACTGAAAACACACACACACACACACACACACACACACACACACATACACAGACACACACAGGCAGCTCTCTCTCTCTCTCATCTCGGTGCTGAAGCTGGATGTCGATCGCCCACTGTTCTGTGGGCGGGGCTCAACTTCATATCAGAAATGAATCTAATAATAAAACTGATCGATCCAGGTTTGATCAGAGAGATAATGATGGGGTTTGACAGGTGAGGGGGCGGGTTATATATCAGGGTGGGCGGGGACAAATATGGTCAGGTGAGTGATTGGCAGGTGAGGGGGCGGGGCTAATGAAGAGGCTGGTCCTCTGTGTGTATATTGAGTGTAAATGAAGCACAGATGTAAATGTGAGTGTAAACGCCACTGAAATAACGACCGTCGTCAAAGGGACGTTTATTAATGAACTTGCACTAAAACAGAAAACTAAGAAAAACAGATTTCCAGAGAAACATACTTGATTCCATGAGTCGCTTTCTTCCTCCTCCCCCTCCCCCCCCCTCCTCTCCCTCCTCTCCCTGCGTTTTGTTAATTTCCTGTAAAATAAGAGATTTTTTTCTTTTTGTATTTATTACTGAATGAAGCTATTTTCTAAATCCATGATGAGTTCAAGGTCTGGAGTCACAGTGTGTAAATATCTGTACCATAAATTAAGGAAACAGAAAGTTTAGAAATCACTCCACCGAGAGCTACCTGAACATCCTCATCCTCACCTTCATCACCTGCCGACTAGAGCGCTCTGCTGTTTGCGTTTTAAATAGTTTCACTGTTTCTGTTTCCTGTCCCGGCGGTGGGGGAGCTGCGTTCTGATTGGACGAAGACCTTGAGCAGTCGGGCAGGTTTCACTGCGGCCTTCATCTGACTTCAGTTTCTTTGTTTTTCTGGCTGCAGGCGTCTGTGTGCAGATTTTTATTTTGTTTGTTTGTTTGTTTGTTTGTTTTCTCCGTGGCGTCACTTTGTGTTGTGGAGTTCAGTCCTGCTGCCGTGTACATATGAGGTTTTATCAGGACGTGTACAGATAGACGACATGAAGCCTTGTATTTGTTTTTATTTTTTATTATTGGACGTAAACAGAGTGTGATGATGATGATGATGATGATGATGATGATGTTTGTTTGTTTTTGGGATAAATGTGGAATCTGATTTAGAATCATTTACAGAAAATAAAATATTTTACATCTTGAACAACATGGCAGCTCTTCATTGTGTGTGTGTGTGTGTGTGTGTGTGTGTGTGTGTGTGTGTGTGTGTGTGTGTGTGTGATCCAGTGTTACTGTTTGTAACTCTCCTGCAGCTGTACACACTTAATGCTAATGCTGCTTCAGAATAAAACACTTATTGTGAAGTGACCACAGGAAACCATGTACGCGATCAAAAGTGTGTCTAAGAGAAAAGAACTTCACCAAATCGAATTTAGCGCTCAGAGTTCCCACACTGTGTGTGACCCTGAAGTTACAGGTGCAAATTTTGGCCCTGAATCTGACTGGACAATGACAGTCCAATCAGAGAGCAGGTGTGCCTGGAATTATTTGTGAACATCACTTTACAAAGTCAAACTCTTTTTGACCCTACTTTGAGCCCGTAGACGTCATTTCACATGTCACCACAGGGGGGCCTCATGTGAGTCAAAGGGATGATGATGTGGATATAAATAAATGAGGAAGTGATGAGTCAGTCAGTGGAGAGCAGCGAGCAGGACGGGAAGAACTGTGAGTGTTAACATTATTTTTATCCAGGCATCTAAAAGATGTACAATCAAACAGTGAAAATAGTTTTAACCAAAAACAAAGTGTTCTGCATTAAAGTGAAGCAGGAGAGGACTGAAACACTGCAGCTCAGCAGAGGAATAATCAGAACAGACTGCTGTGTCTGCTGGATTACACTTAGGTACAAGCTGTGGCATGCAGAGTTCATCTGAGGAAATACAGGAAGCATTACACCAACGTTACAGTCCTCATCTCTCCTTAGTAAAAGTTTTACACCAACCAATCATTAATGTGAAGTAAAAATGTGCCTGAAAGGATCAAAGGTCAGCAGTTTTCAGGGTCCTCGTCTGTGAGTCAGTTTGAGATGTTCTTCAGCTCAGCAGCTTCTCTTCTGTTTGTTCCTGTGTACGCTGATGTTTATGGAACCTTCTAGAATCAGGGTCACCAACACGGTGCCCGCGGGCACCAGGTCGCCCCCAAGGACCACATGAGTCGCTTGCAGGCCTGTTCTAAAAATAGCACAACTCACTAGTGAGCTGCGTCTAAAATTTAATTTTATTCTGTTGCTATTCTTTTTTAATCACACTTGCATTTGTATAGATTTTAAAATGACAATATCTTAAAAATATGTGAACTCTGACCTACTCTAGTTCAAAGGTCAGCCTTGTGCTCGCAACAAAACCAGTGGTCGTGGAGAGTAAGCCAGCGGGCGCAGCGAAGATGAGCGCTGAATGCAGTTTCTTACCTCCAAAAAATGGCACAAAAAACAAAGAAAACTTATCACTTTCACAAAGAATGGGAGGAGGAGTTGTTTTTTACGACTGTGAAAGAAACCTGCGTGTGTCTCATTTGCGGGGCGACAGTGGCACAAAAGCTACCATGCTAACTAGCCACCGGGAAGCGCACTACGGGCAGAGAAAGCCCATGAGTTAACGGCAGCTTTGGGTAAGTAACAGTCTTTTTTCACGTAGCCCGCGAAAAAGTCACAAAAAGCAACCGAAGCCTCGTTTAGAGCGACACATTATCTGACCAAGAAGAAGAAGAAGGTATTTTCAGTCTTCCCACTAACAAAGACACAGATAGCAGATGTTGTCAGTAGCAACATGGCAGTGCCATGGCAAATTTGAATTAAAATATTGAAGAATTGTGTTCATGACATGTAACAGTTATAATTTTGTTAAAACTGCCTCAGATTTGGTCAGTAGTTCAATATGTGACAAGATTTATTTAAAAATATGTAAGTTGATTTTTTCTTTAACATTACATAATTGATAACTTTTTGAAACATGGTGCAACATAGTTCATGGTTTGTTAAAAGGGGTTGTCAGTGGCAAGTGAAAATGGGACATTTCTCCTATGAAATGTAGAGATGTAAGTGATCATCTGAAAATTTAACAATTCCTGAGATTAATAAAGTTCTGAATATTGATATCTGTTTCCCACCTTGTTGTCTTTGTTGAAAATTATTGTGAGAAATCATTAACATGATCAGTGTCTTCACATAGATGAGTATCATTAATCATTATTAATAATGTATAATTAAAGGCAAACTTAGCAAATTTGTTATTTCAGAAGAGTGTATCAAACTGGTAGCCCTTCGTGTGACTCAGTGCCCATGAAGTAGCTCAGTTTCAAAAAGGTTGGTGACCCCTGTTCTAGAACATAAGGGCCATGTCAACAGGTACTGAGGTGGGCGGGGCTTAGAGAACTGTCAGGTCTGTTATGTTGTAATGTTGGCAGCGGGGGGGGGGGGGGGGTTATTAGGTTAGATTAGGTTATTTTTAAAATAACTGATGCTTCATTTCAGATGACTGAACCAAATGGAGACAGAGAAAGTTACAGCTCTCTCTCTCGTGTAAAATTTTCTCAGCTTTTGCAGAATGATGATTTCTAATGAACGACAATAAGACGATGGAAACCTGGCTCTCTTGTTTCAGGTGAGCAGAGGCGACAGTACACTGATCCCCCTCCCCTTCCCTGAAGTCTCCTGGTTGACCTGTCAGACCAGAGATGATTAATGATGTGGAGGAAGAGGAGGACAGAGCAGAGTCTCCAGTCCCCAGCTGTTGGTCTATGAAGAGTGACCGGTCTAAATATGAACCTCCACTCTTCAGTAATGAACCTGGACCTTCACACACACAGTAAGACACAGTTTCTACTGTAGAAAACTTCAGACAAAATGATCTTCTAATAGATTTATATTCATGACGATGAACCATTAGAGCTGATTCCATTTTAAACTAAGTTGGATCTTGAGTTTCCTCACCAGAATCTACTGATGGTCTTTCTGTAGCAGAACAACTCAGATCCTCCATGTCAGAATTTACACCTTCAGAAAATATTAATTTGTCTTTGCCCTGATGTTGAACCCTCTTCCACTGGTGCTGTAACAGGTCTGTACCTGAGGAGAGCGTGAGAATAAGAACAATACTGAAATAATGTGAATGAAACATGTTTGTGTTTGCAGAGGTGAGTCCTACAGACGGAGAGCAGAGTCTCCAGTCCCCAGCTGTCTGTCTATGAAGAGTGACTGGTCCAAAGATGAACCTCTGTTCTTCAGTAATGAACCTGGACCTTCACACACACAGTAAGAGACTGCTGACCTCCTGTCCATGTGCATCAACAGCTCATTTACCTTCCTACTGGAAGCACTAGATTATTGTTGCTTGTCTGTCAGCAGGTTTACACAGAAAGTACTGAACTGATTTGCACCAACCTTGGTGGATGGGGCACAGGTCAGGGAACAACCCATTCAATTTTGTTGCCGTTGCAGTTTAAGGGTCCAATGCGGAAATGTTTTAATTGCTAAGAGCTAAACAGAGATGTGTAGAGATGTGGAGGTATTCTAGTTCTTGCTCTGATAATCCAAACAGTTAATGCACGGAAGAATCAATAAACTAAAGGAGGTAGCAGCTAAAAGACTGGAAATATAGTTCATACTGAACCGTTTACAAGGGTTCATTAATGACAATTGTCACAGTGAAGTTGATCTATAAAGGTAAATTGGTGGGATGTGAAGCACTACTGCTGTCTTCTGTCCATCAAACAAACGCTTGAGTGAAATAAAAATGTGTCCATGTCCTCAGAGAGTGGAGGAGCCGTGTCTCTGTGGAGGAGCAGCTGTCCAGCTGTGCTCTGTGTCAGGACTTCCTGAAGGATCCAGTCTCTACCAGCTGTGGACACTGGTTCTGCAGACAGTGCTTCACCTCATACTGGGACCAGTCTGGTTCTTCAGGAGACTCCTCCTGTCCCCAGTGTGGACAAAGACCCAGAACAAGACCTGGACTGCAGACAGCCAGTCAGACCAGCACTGAACAAAGTGAGACTGAACATCTGTATGATGATGTCATCATTTCTAAAACCAGGACCTGTTTTATACAGAGTCATTTGTTACATCACACAGCATTGACCTTTAAGATGTTTATAAATACCACAACATTAAAACCTTTTCTCTGTTTGTCTTTAGTTTTTCTGCATCTGATGAAAATAATCATCAGATTCTCAGATTGTCTTTCTTCAGTCTGACGTTGTCTCTTCTCTTTCAGCAGATAGTGGTCTGCAGGAGGTTTTACATCAACATAAGATCAGTCTGAAGAGCAGATGTGAACATGTGACTGAAGGAACTGATGGAACAGGAAGTGGAACCCTCCTCAACAGGATCTACACTGAGCTCCACATCACAGAGGGACAGAGTGAAGAGGTTAATACCCAACATGAGGTGATTCAGTTGGAGACCCTCCATGACGCTCCAATCAGGTGCCACGACATCTTTAAAGCCTTACCTGACCAGCAGAGACCCATCAGAGTGGTTCTGACCAACGGCGTCGCTGGCGTTGGAAAAACCTTCTCAGTGCAGAAGTTCTCTCTGGACTGGGCAGAGGGCTTGGAGAACCAAGATGTCAGTCTGCTGGTTCTGCTTTCGTTCAGGGAGCTGAACCTGATCAGAGATCAGCAGTACAGTCTTCTCAGGCTGCTCCATGTTTTCCATCCAACATTACAGAAGGTCACAGCAGAGCAGCTCGCTGTCTGTAAAGTTCTGTTCATCTTTGACGGCCTGGATGAAAGCAGACTGTCACTGGATTTCAACAACAGGGAGGTTGTGTCTGATGTCACACAGGAGTCATCAGTCAACGAGCTGCTGACAAACCTCATCAGGGGGAATCTGCTTCCCTCGGCTCTCGTCTGGATAACTTCCAGACCTGCGGCGGCCAATCAGATCCCTCCTACATGTGTGGACAGGGTAACAGAAGTACGAGGCTTCACTGACGCCCAGAAGGAGGAGTACTTCAGGAGGAGATCCAGTGATGAAGAGCTGTCCAGCAGAATCATCTCACACATCAAGACGTCCAGGAGCCTCCACATCATGTGTCAAGTCCCAGTCTTCTGCTGGATCACTGCTACAGTTCTGGAGCACATGTTGACCACAGACCAGAGAGGAGAGCTGCCCCAGACCCTGACTGACCTGTTCTCACACTTCCTGCTGGTTCAGACACAGAGGAAGAAGAACAAGTACCATGAGGGACGTGAGACGAGTCCACAGGAGCTGACGGAGGCTGACGGGGAAGTTCTTCTGAAGCTGGGGAGGCTGGCGTTTGAACATCTGGAGAAAGGAAACATCATGTTCTACCAAGAAGACCTGGAGCAGTGTGGTCTCGATGTCACAGAGGCCTCGGTGTACTCAGGACTTTGTACTGAGATCTTCAGAAGAGAGAGTGTGATCTTCCAGAAAACAGTCTACTGCTTTGTTCATCTGAGCGTTCAGGAGTTTCTGGCTGCAGTCTACATGTTCCACTGTTACACCAACAGGAAGACTGAGGTCCTGAAGGGCTTCCGAAAAGATGTGGTTGATGATGATTCATTCAGTGATGACAGCGATGACAGCGACGACAGTGATGACAGTGATGACAGCGATGACAGCGATGACAGGGACACTGACTATTACCCATCCATAGACGAGTTCCTGATGGCAGCCATGGAGAAATCCCTCCAAAGTAGAAACGGTCACCTGGACCTGTTTGTTCGCTTCCTTCATGGCCTCTCTCTGGAGTCCAACCAGAGACTCGTAGGAGGTCTGCTGGGTCAGACAGAGAACAGTCCAGAAACCATCCAGAAAGCCATCAACAACCTGAAGAAGATGAACACTTATGATATCTCTCCTGACAGAAGCATCAACATCTTCCACTGTCTGATGGAGATGAAGGACCACTCAGTTCATCAGGAGATCCACGAGTTCCTGAAGTCAGAGAACAGATCAGAGAAGAAACTCTCTGAGATCCAGTGCTCAGCTCTGGCCTACATGCTGCAGATGTCAGAGGAGGTCCTGGATGAGTTGGACCTGAGGAAGTACAACACATCAGTGGAGGGACGACGGAGACTGATCCCAGCTGTGAGGAACTGCAGGAAGGCTCGGTGAGTCCAGATTGTAACACTGTTAAGCAACACTGTAGAACTGCTGGCTCTGGCTGCAGGTACGATGTAGCACAGTCCAAATGCGATCACCAAGACAAGAGTTAGAAGATATTCATTCATACAGTTACACCGACAGGAAAGTTTAATCAGGGCATGAACAACCATGAGATAGGCAAAAACCTACAGCAACCAGGTAATGAATCAGCACGACTTTACGGTGAATCAGGTGAAAGTGTTTTGAGTATACAAATATAATCTGATGAAGGTTAAAAGGAAGATACTCTGGGGGCCCTGAGAGCTCAACACACTGCAGCTGAAGGAAACATGCAAACAGACAGAATACAAACAACTATCAATCAGTCTTACACATGAGCTGTAAATACTCACAACACAACAGGAAGTGTTTCCAGGGGACTCTAAAAGGTGATGCAGGGTGTCCCGGTGGCTCATACCATGAAGGAGTAGTCCGAACTGCAAACCTGGCTGAGATGCAGGTTTATCACTTTTTAGAGTCCACTTGCTCCTCCTTGAACCGTCACCTTACCGTGGTGGAGGAGTTTGAGAGCCCTAATGACCCTAGGAGTTATGTTGTTGGGGGCATTTTGCTCCTGGTAGGGTCTCCCAAGGCAGATTGTTCCCAGGTGAAAGGCCAGACGAAGAACAGTTCAGAAGATCCCAATGAACAGAACAAACAAGAACACGAGTACCTGGCCCGGAGGGTTACTGGGGCCCCGCCCTGGAGTCAGGCCTGGGGTTGGGGCCTGTGGGCGAGCGCCTGGTGGCCCAGCCGGCCCAGCCCGAACCAGTTACATGGGTTTGTCTCCCAGTGGGCCCACCACCTGCAGGAAGAGTCAACGGGATTCGGTGCAATGTGGATTGGGCAGCAGACCAAGACGAGGGCCTTGGCGGTCCGATCCTCGGTTACGGAAACTGATTTTTGGAACATGGAATGTCACCTCTCTGGTGGGGAAGGAGCGGGAACTTGTGGAAGAGGTTGAGCGATACCGGCTAGATATAGTCGGCCTCACCTCAACACATAGCGTTGGCTCCGGAACCCAAGTCCTTGAGAGGGGCTGGTCTCTCCTCTTTGCTGGAATTTTTCCAGGGGAGAGGTGGAGGTCTGGGGCGGGTTTTTTGGTGGCCCCCAGGCTCTTTGCCTGTGTGTTGGGGTTCGCTCCAGTAGACGAAAGGGTTGCGTCCCTGCGCCTTCGGGTCGGGGATCGGGTTCTGACTGTTGTCGGTGCCTATGCACCGAACAGCAGTTCAGACTACTTGGGACGGGTGCTGGAAAGTGCCCTGAAAGGGGACTCCATTGTCCTATTGGGAGACTTCAACGCTCACGTGGGCAATGACAGCGTGACCTGGAGGGGTGTGGTGGGGAGGAACGGCCTGCCCGATCTGAACCCGAGTGGCGTTCAGTTATTGGACTTCTGTGCTAGTCACAGTTTGGCCATAACCAACACCATGTTCAAGCATAAGGACGTCCATAGGTGCACTTGGCACCAGGACACCCTAGGTCGCCGGTCTATGATCGACTTTGTAGTCGTATCATCAGACCTGCGGCCGCATGTTTTGGACACTCGGGTGAAGAGAGGAGCAGAGTTGTCAACTGACCACCACCTGGTGGTCAGTTGGATCAGATGGCGAGGAAAGACACCACGCAGACCTGGCAGGCCCAAACGGGTTGTGAGGATCTGCTGGGAAAGCCTGGCGAAAGAGTCCGTCAAGATGATTTTCAACGCACACCCCTGGCAGAGTTTCAATCGCGTCCCGAGGGCGGTGGGGGACATTGAGTCCGAATGGGTCTTGTTCCGCTCTGCTGTTGTTGAGGTAGCTGATGCGAGCTGCAGCCGCAAGGTAGCTGGGGCCAGTCGTGGCGGTAACCCCCGTACCTGCTGGTGGACACCAGAGGTGGGGGAAGCCGTCAGGCTGAAGAAGGAGGCCTACAGGGCGTGGTTGGCCTGTGGGTCTCCAGAATCAGCTGGCTGGTACCGGCGGGCCAAGCGGAGCGCAGCTGCAGCAGTTACTGAGGAAAAAACTCGGGCTTGGGAGGAGTTCGGTGAGACTATAGAGGAAGACTATCGATTGGCTCCAACACGTATTCCGTGGAGGAAACAGAGTCAAAAGACCTGGGGATGGATGGTCTAATCTCCGGGGCAGAAGTCACCGAGGTAGTGAAACAACTGCGCGGTGGCGGAGCCTCGGGGGTTGATGAGATCCGCACTGGGTATCTCAAGGCTCTGTATGTTGTAGGACTATCTTGGTTGACACGCCTCTGCAACATTGCGTGGACATTGGGGGCAGTACCTCTGGAGTGGCAAACCGGGGTGGTGGTCCCCATCTTTAAGAAGGGTGACCAGAGAGTGTGTTTCAACTACCGGGGAATTACACTTCTCAGCCTCTCTGGTAAGGTCTATGCCAGGGTACTGGAAAAGAGGGTCCGGTCGATAGTTGAACCTCAGATCGAGGAGGAGCAATGTGGTTTGGACCGTGGAACTGTGGACCAGCTCTTTACCCTTGCTAGGTTGCTGGAGGGTGCATGGGAGTTTGCCAATCCAGTCCACATGTGTTTTGTGGATTTGGAGAAATCTTACGACCGTGTTCCCAGGGGCTCCCTGTGGGGGGTGCTCCGGGAGTATGGGGTGGATGGCCCCTTGTTAGCCCGTTAAGTCCCTGTACCAAAGGAGTGTGAGTCTGGTTCGCGTAGCCGGCAGTAAGTCGGACCTGTTCCCGGTGAGGGTTGGACTCCGCCAGGGCTGCCCTTTTTTACCGGTTCTGTTCATAACTTTTATGGACAGAATTTCTGGGCGCAGCTCGGTGGTGGAGGGGTTTGGGTTCGGTGGCGGGATGATCTCGTCTCTGCTTTTTGTGGATGATGTGGTCCTCTTAGCTTCATCGAGCACCGACCTTCAGCTCTCACTTGGGCGGTTCGCAGCCGAGTGTGAAGCGGCTGGGATGAAGATCAGCACCTCCAAGTCTGAGGCCATGGTTCTCAGATCTCGTCTCTGCTTTTTGTGGATGATGTGGTCCTCTTAGCTTCATCGAGCACCGACCTTCAGCTCTCACTTGGGCGGTTCGCAGCCGAGTGTGAAGCGGCTGGGATGAAGATCAGCACCTCCAAGTCTGAGGCCATGGTTCTCAGCTGGAAACGGGTGGATTGCCCGCTCCGGGTCAGGGGGGGAGGCCCTGCCTCAGGTGGAGGAGTTTAAGTATTTTGGGATCCTGTTCACGAGTGAGGTTAGGAAGGAACAGGAGATCGACAGGCAGATTGAGGCGGTGTCAGCAGTGATGCGGGCGCTGAATCAGTCCGTTGTGGGGAAGAGGGAGCTAAGCCAGAAGGTGAAGCTCTCGATTTACCGGTCGATCTATGATCCAATCCTCATCTATGGTCATTAGCTTTGGGTAATGACCGAAAGAACGAGATCGCAAATACAAGCGGCCGAAATGAGTTTCCTCCGCAGGGTGGCCGGGCTCAGTCTTAGAGATAGGGTGAGGAGCTCGGTCATTCGGGAGGGACTCGGAGTAGAACCACTGCTCGTCCATGTCGAGAGGAGCCAGTTGAGGTGGTTCGGGCATCTGGTAAGGATGCCTCCCGGACGCCTCCCTGGGGAGGTGTTTCGGGCATGTCCCACCGGGAGGAGGCCTCGGGGTCGACCAAGGACACGCTGGAGGGATTATATCTCTCAGCTGGCCTTGGAAAGCCTCGGGATTCTCCCGGAAGAGCTGGTGGAAGTAGCTGGGGAGAGGGCCGTCTGGACCTCTTTGCCAAGGCTGCTGCCCCGTGACCTAGATCCAGATGAGTGGGAGACGACGACGACGAGTCCACTTGAACACTTCCTGCTGTGTTGTGAGTAATTGCAGCTCATGTGTAAGACTGATTGACAGTTGTTTGTGTTCTGTTTGTTTGCATGATTCCTTCAGCTGCAGTGTGTCGAGCTCTGAGTGCCACAGCTAAGCAGGGAGTGGATTCATACATAGTTTTGGTAAAGCAGGATCTGATTGGATCTTTTTGCGGGAGCTGTCAAAGAATTCAAATAGCTGCAAGGATTTTTCAGGGGGAAGAAATCCCCCCAAAAGAGGTATGAACTCAAGTCACATCATCACTTGACTAAGCTCAAACACTAGAAGATGAGATGGATTATGATGGAGAAGTCGTTTGACAGGTTTTTACTGACTCTCTGAAGCTTTGCTTTCAAAACTTTAGAATACGTTATTTAGTATTGCATTATTGATGCTAGTTATTTTATATTGAAATTGTTACTGCAGGTTTCTTGGTTGTGGACTCTCAGAGACTCACTGTGAACTCTTGGCCTCAGCTCTGAAGTCCAACCCCTCCCACCTGAGAGACCTGGATCTAAGTGGAAACTATCTGCATCATCTAGGAGTGAAGTTGCTGTCTGCTGGACTAAAGAGTCCACACTGTGAACTGGAGACTCTGAGGTCAGTATCCCATATGTCTCATGAGGAACTGCTTGTAGGTAGTTATTGTATATAGGTATAGCTGACTGGGAATGGTGTTTTTGTATAAAACTATTTTTGTGGTATTTATCCTTTGATTACAGGCTTGATAAATGTGAACTGACAGAGAGCTGCTGTATTTTTCTGGCCTCAGCCCTGAGGTCCAACCCATACCATCTGAAAGAGCTGGACCTCAGTCACAACGCTCTGCAGGACTCTGGGGTGAAGCTGCTGTCAGCTGAGCTGGAGAGTCCAGACTCCCGTCTGGAAAGTTTGAGGTCAGAGTTTGTTTTTTTCAAGTTATATTTTTGGCCATTTTTGCCTTTATTCGGAAAGTACAGTGAGAGAGACAGGAAATTTAGGGAGAGAGAGACTCAAACCCACGGCTTCTGTGTTGAGATGAATATTATATGGATGGTGTGGTTACCAAGAACATGTATTTAATATGAAAACAAAGCAGTTACTAAATGAATCCTGTGGCAATTACAATACATTTACTGTCATTAATGTAACAAAGTTGTTTACTTGTGCTTTTGGAGTATTTCTAAAAATCTGTTATTTCTCTCTTCAGTACTTCACTACATTAAAAGTCAAAATCATTACTTAGTAAAAACAAAAGTGGTCATAGTTTTCGTTGACACTAATGTAAGCAGTGACATGTTGTCACTGTTGATATTCATGTTATTAATTATTTATAATATGTATTGTATCATGGTTTCTCTAAAGTTGTCAACCTCTTGGCATGAAGTGTTTGAAATAGATTATAGGTAAGTTTCCAATTTGCACATAAAGTGCCTGAGTGGGAAGATTTTTTTTACACTTTAAAGCGCAACAGAAACATTGTGGGACAATCAGGATGTACATGAAGCAACTCAAGCTAACTGACAAAAACATCAGCTGTGTGGAGTGATGATGAGGAGGCTGAACCTTCCTCACATTAACACAGCAAACAAACAGGAACATCACATCTCCACCATGTTCTCCATCATGTTCTCTATCGTCTGAGCTCTGACTGGATCTGTTAATGACCTGATATTGCACACCATATCTAAAACCACTAAACCTCCATCACATTAAGTCATGATGGACAATTTCAAGTTTCCTATCCAGAAATGTTTTAGTTTATATTTTCATACTTTTCAAAATTCAGACTGAGGTGCTGTATCTTGGTGGAGAACAGCTGCTTCCATCTGGCCCCAGCTGTGAAGTCCCCTCTGAGAGAGCTGGACCTGAGTGAGAACAACCTTCAGGATTCAGGAGTGAAGCAGCTGTTGAAGCAGCTGTCTGCCAGACTGGACACTTTACATAGTAGACTGGAGATTCTGAGGTCAGGTGGATCTTTATTAAATGTTTTATTAATAAAATGTTGAGATTAATATTATAATATTATATATTGGAGACTTTACACTAATCCCCAGTATTAGAAATAGTGTTAACTGATAACCTCCTTAACCTTTCCTCATGATCTCATAATTATTTTAAGTATAAATATTAAGTCTTAATTATGAGATACAGATGTCATGATTAAGAAGTAGGACATAGGACATAACAGTGTTGCGTTTCACTTTTAACTGTATTTTTTATGAATGGATTTTATCTCCATCTTTTATTCTTTATTCAGGTTGAGTTCCTGCAGGTTGTCAGAGATCAGCTGTTCTTCTCTGGCCTCAGCTCTGAAGTCCAACCCCTCCCACCTGAGAGAACTGGACTTGAGTGGAAACAACAAGCTGCAGGATTCAGGAGTGAAGCAGCTGTCTGCTGGACTGGAGAGTCCAAACTGTCGACTGGAGACTCTGAGGTTGACAATTTCTTCTTCCCTCTCTGTGGAACTTTGCTTAAACATTGACGGAGGTTTGTAAAAATATCCTTCTTTCTTCAGGCTGAGTCGTTGTCGGGTCACGCATGAAGGCTGTTCTTCTCTGGCCTCAGCTCTGAAGTCCAACCCCTCCCATCTGAGAGAACTGGACATGAGTGTCAACAAGCTGCAGGATTCAGGAATGAAGGATCTGTGTGGTTTTCTGGAGAGTCCAGACTGTCGACTGGAGACTCTGAGGTCAGACTCCACTTTCACCAGTGCTTTCTAGTACTCACTAAGAAAATGTGTTCTGACTTGGTAGACAAATGACAGTCTGAACAGTGTAATTCAAACTGACTAGCTTTATGGAAAGACCTATTCTCTATATCATGCTATATCAATGCTACAATATCATAACTGATGTCAGAACAGTAGAAGTTGAGTCAGATTGACAAGTTCACTCTGCCTAAAGCCAAGGATCCCGGGATTATCCTCAATGCGCAAACCCACCAAAATGGCCACTGTCCTTTCCGCTTGACAAGCTCCAGCCTTTATCAACAGTTCTGTCACACACACGAAAATGAGGGAAATGATAGAAACAGCAGGAAATCAAAGTAGCTTTAGAGACAATACCCTGCTGCCGCCACAAGAGGACGGTAAACTACATGATGAATACAAACAGGCAACAGATCCAGACAGAAGCTGTTCTGAGAGCAGATGTGAGGAGAGAGATCACTTCACGTCAGTATTGATCTGGTTGATTCTATTTTTAGACTTAACTGCTTGTCTCACTTATCCTGATGTCACGACACCAGTATATGCACAGTATTGACACATAAATGACGTGCACTGACTGTCACTAACTGTTGTTTTCTTTATTCAGGTTGAGGTTCTGCAGTTTTTCAAAGATCAGCTGTTCTTCTCTGGCCTCAGCTCTGAAGTCCAACCCCTCCCACCTGAGAGAACTGGACCTGAGTCACAACAACCTGCAGGATCCAGATGTGAAGCAGCTGCGTGACCTTGTGGAGAGTCCAGACTGTCAACTGGAGACTCTCTCTCATTAAACAAAGTTGTCACTATGGATCAGTCTGTTCTGAACCAAAAGACTTCAAATTACAAAGAAAAAAAGAATAATAAAAGAAAAGTAGGGCTGCCCTGTAAATGTTGGTGATGCAAATCATCAGCCCAGAAGCCCTGACTTCACTTCTGTCAGTGTGTCACAAGTAACACAGATAACAGCAGTTCGCTCAACTAAACCTCCTCTGCTGCTGTGCAGTGTGTCTGACTCTTCAGCCGACACTGATCCGTGAACAGCACACACACTTTACTGTGATAGAGTACTCAGATGGAGGGTTTAACTTATCGATTTGAAAAGAAAGGTCTCTGTGGTGAAGTTACTACCACATGGTTGAAGAATAATGATTCAAAATTACTGGATTATGGTTATCCATTTGTAGGCGGAGCACAACATGGACCTTACCTGGAGTAAGGCCTCTTTTTTGTTTAACTTTAAGATGACCAAAACATACTTTAATAATTTGAACCTGCGCTGTGAATATCGTCATTATTTATTGTTTGTTATATTGATTATTGTTATGATGTATCTCTAGCGTAGACACTCATCCATATCATTTCTATGTCGTAACAAATGTCATCACTACACAGGTGATGTGGCTTTGCTCAGACTGTACTCGGTGGTGGTATATGACATCAACATTATATGATGATGTGTTTGCGTTTCTCCCTCCTAAAGTGGATGAGGTTGACAAACCATCAGAAGCAATGTAGTACGGGTCAGCAGAGAAACAGCTTTGAAACGCACAGTGCAGCTGAAAAGGAAAACGTAGATGGAAGAGTTTCGTTTTCTCTGGTCGCTCCGTTAACGTCGAGCTGCGTCATCATGACGCCATAGACTGATGTGATTTGTTTTTTTAATCTTATATCGTGTAATTGTATGGTCATGTGATTTTACTTTTCTAAGGAAGAGGGTTAGTGCCACGTGAAAATTTTTTATTTCATAATTCTGACTTTTTATTTTTTAATTCAGAATTTGTTTTTGCATATGGCCCTAATCCTCTTCCGTACATTTCTGACATAGGGATGCGTATTAAATGTTAAATGTTCGATTTTTAATCTGAAGGTACTTCTGATTAAATAAAGATAATAAAAGCAGAAATTTACCTGAGAGTTGCACGGTGTGACCGAGTTTTAAGTTATTTCTCTTATAACAGTTTTTAATTACATTTTTTATGAAAATATCCCAGTGTTTCCCCACAGTATGTTCACCGGGAAAAAACATCGAAGAAGAAGAATGTGAAGACAACCTATGGGAGGCACTTCGTGTCTCTGAGCTCTGCGGCCAGCTCCTTCCTCCTCATGGTTCCTGCTCTGATCGCCATCGTTGGTTGTGAGAAACAGAGGAACCTGAGCTAAACTTCACGTGTTACAGCAGAGTGTCTGAATACTTATATCAGTGTGATATTTCAGTTTTCACCTTTTAATGCAGACAACTTTATTATTTGAAAAATAATGTTTTCAATGTGCTGCATATATTTAATCTGTACAAAATTCCAACAGCAGAAACACTAACTCATCCATTACTTCCAGAGCTCTTCCCGTTCTGCCTGAGGATGATGATGATCATGATGAACGCCAGCGGCGCCGGCAGCCGTAATCCTGGATGCACTTTGAGGATTTTGTTTTTGTGTCTTTAACGTCCTGTCCGATCCTCTTATTGTGCAGCTGCATCCACTCACCGTTGCTCTGAGTCTGGACTGAGGAGGAGCAGGAGGTCAAGGAGGAGCTGGAGCTGTGATGAACACCGTGATATTGAACTGAGTCACGTAGATATGATCATTCAAACAGGAAACGGAGCAGGACACAGATGACGTGAAACAGAAAACAACTTTATTGATCTTAAATCTGAAACATTCAGTAACTGCAGCCACAGTCCAAACACACACCTTCAGTGAGTCCCAGCAGAAGAGATCTCACATCCAACCTCTGACACTGGGAACTTCGTGCTGTGGAGTTCATCATGTGAGCGGGACAGTTCAGGAAAATCTGATTCATGTCTGAGAGTTTGAAGGTTTTTACCAAACGTTCGACAAAAGAAACGAAAGGATTGAAGATGTTGGTGTGAGACACAGTTCCTGCTTCACATTAAGTTCAGCTCTGTTGAAAGGCATGAATCTACCTCACGGAGAGCAGCAATCAGAGCTGCACTGGCTTGTGATCCTTTTTTTCGTACCGTGTCGATCACCACTCGAGCTTTGTCTGCCCTGCTCGGTGTCACGGCAGCATAATCCATTTCACCATCAGTTATCACCCCACGCTCCAGGAGTTTATCCAGCAGCGTACGAAGAACAGGTTCAGACACCCTGTTGATGAACTGTGTTCGGACAGACATCAGCTTCTCCTCTGCTGAGACGTCCTGAGTCCATAACGGGACCTTCAAAGTCCCTGCTGGGACACTCAGAGTCCCTGCTGGACCAGCACCTGGAGGATGAACCAGAGAAGAACCTGTGTTCAATAAGCAGCTGACACCTACAGCCGAGAGCTCGTAGTCATGACAACAGGACCAGATTAAACTGAACCCACAGAGCTCAGACTAACTGCTAACAATTACATTCACTATCAATTCATACGCGGATTATTTTATCTGTTCGTGTGTTTGTGTTTAACGGTTGAGACTTCCAGCTCTGCAGCTTCAGCGATGTTCTGTCTCCATCTAGTGGCTGAAAGGAACAACTACACCCTGACCTGCTCACACCCTTCAGGGCGTGTTGGTGTGAATGTTTCACCTGTGACTCACCTGCTGCTCCTGAGCTGACGGTTGCTAGTTTCTTCACCAGGTCATTCCTGCAGATCTTCTTTAAAACTCTCTCCATCGTCTCCACGGCTCCAGCAGATCCATACTTTTGCTCCATCAGATCCACCGTCTCCTCCCTCTCCGCCTTCGACAGCCGGCTCTCTGAGATGGGCGGGAGGCTGTCCACCGTCTCTCTCTTCAGGAACCACTTGAAGCGCTTGAACTCATCGTCTCTCAGCTCGTCCAGGATGTTGATGAGGTCCGTGTCTGTCATCTTGGCGTCCTGGTGAAAGCAGAGAGTCTGCTCAGTGTGAAGTCAGAGAACTGTTGGTGTTTCTGCTGCTGGTTCTACTGGTCTTACTGGCTCCTACACTGTCTGTACGACGTCCAATCAGAACGTCTGCTGCAGTGGTGGAAGCACTAACTGACCTCCATGTTCTTTCTCCTGCTGTTTCTCTCACTGAGAAGATTCAACTGATTAAAACTATAATCAACAGATAAATCATGAAGTATTAATCTGCACTCAACTACACAGCGGTGTATTAAATCATTACATAATCCCCCCGCCCCCTACAGGACAGGTGAAGGTACTGAACTGTTACAGTCTTTATCACTTCAGCTGGTTTTATACTTTACTGATGTATATTCATATTCAGGGCTGTCAAATAATAATGATAATAATAATAATGATAATAACAATAATGTTGTAGCACTCACCTGCCTCAGCCGTCAGTTTCCCTCCTCTTGCTGTGTCCAGGTGAGTCTGATCTCTGAACACTTTCACTTTCAGTTGCTCCTCCCCTGCTGCATTTATAGATAACCACATTAGTCTTAGTGAGTGTGTGTGTGTGTGTGTGTGTGTGTGTGTGTGTGTGTGTGTGTGTGTGTGTTTACCAGCTAGAAGTTGTTTAAATTAGTTGCACTTTCATCTGTTTATTAAAACAACTTTTTTTCCTCTATAATAACCTAAGTATTTATTATCACCATTACAGGAAACGATACCTGCGATACCTTTAACCCATTCAGACCTCAGCTGCTGAAATGAAACTGAATCTTCTGAAACAGACATATGAAATAAAAACCACCTGAGACTTTAAACCTTTTACTCTTTTGTAAATTAAAAGCTTTGACTTTGAAACTGAAAAAACAACAATGACAAACATTTGTTTATTGTGTTTTATATTATTTTCCACTAAAAGCCAAAGGTGTCAGCTCTCTGGTATTTCCTGTTTCTATCTGCTCCAGAGACTGACAGGCTCCTCCCCCTCGGTCTCACCTGAGCCTTGACCAGCAGGTTAGCAGTTAACAGCTGGCTGATGTCCAAAAAACGGGCTAAGACCGCCTAAATAAACAAACGAAATACATTTCCCATAATGCATTTCGCTCTGCCGCATTGAATTTCAGCGAATGACCATTCATCTCATCAGTCACGTGCCTTTAAAAACTTTTTTTTTAAAAAACAAAAACGCGCCTCCACGTAGTACTTGGACCACACACACACAAGCACACGCGATGTTGATAATAATAATTGTAATAATAATTATAATCATAATGATACCGGAAGCTGCAGTTTCAGGACTTTCGTAACTGCAGCCTTTTCCGGTGTCAGGAGAAAGTCGTGAACCTGCAGCCTCCTGCAGACACACTGACTCACACCGAGACAGTAAATCATAATAATAATAATAATAATAATAATAATAATAATAATAATGTTGTTTTAACACTCACGTGCCTCAGCCTCCAATTTCCCTCCTTCTGCTCCGTTCACTCAAAATGGAGTCTGAGATCTGAACTGACTGAACCTTCAGCTTCAGTTCCTCCTCTGCATTTACAGGAAATTACATGAGTCATATATGTGTGTGTGTATGTGTGTGTGTGTGTGTGGGTGTTCATGAGTACTTCACGTACTTCATGTAAATGAATCTACGGAAGAGGATTAGGGCCATATGTGACTTTTTTTTCTTAGAATTCTGAAGTTTAAAAGTGAAACTTTTAATTATGACTTTATTTTTCTCACGTGACCCTAACCCTCTTCCTACAGTTTGACTGTTCCATGCAACATGGATTAACGGGTACATTGTGTTTCCATTTGAACGTATTTGAAGTTGTAATAAATTAAATGTCAATAATTATGTGGATCATTTTTTAAAGTTATTTATTCGCCTTTTATGGGGGGGGGGGGGGGGGGACATGCAGCGGTAAGGCCTCAGCCTAAGTGGTGCGCGCTCTAACAGGTAACCCACCTGCGCCTCAAAGCCCGAGGGGGATTCATCACTGTTCACCTGCCTGCTGTTTGTTTTCATCACCGTGGAGCAATATCATGAACTTCACTCACTTCAACAACAACAACAACAACAACCAGAACCAGAACCAGCCCTCAGCTAATCGGCTGTGAAGAGCCCCGGAGCCAGAGGAGTCTTCTGTCGCCATGCTAACGTTAACACCTGCCGAGGGGCCGACATCCAGAGCCGGGACACGCTGCGTGACGCCTGCGTCTCATCGCTCCTTGTCGTGGATCCTGACGGAGCCTTCGGAGAGACTGGACCCAGCGGCCTGCACCACCTCTCGGTAAGAGCCGCTCCCAGTGAACATGGCGGGCAGCTCGGCCTGCTCTGGTTCTGATGTCATGCTTGTTGTGTGTTTACAGGCTGTTTGTGCTGCTGACGTCACGCTCGGTCTCGCGCTGTAAAAGAATAAAACAGGCAACGAACCGCAGCACACACAGAAACCAAGGTGTGTCTCTCACGGGAAAATGGCCTCTCTCTCTCTCTCCACATACTGACACGTTTTTGTTTTGTTTTTTTCCAAATCAAATCTTTATTGATTAAGTGACAGTGCAACAGTAACAATGACAACCTATAAAAAAAATCATGTTCTCTTTAGAAATAATAATTTTAAAAGTAAATAAAATTCATACGCGAGAAAAGAGTTACAAAACATTCTCAGAAAGCAAATTATACATATTATAAAAGAGTAAGTAAAAGAAAATGAAAAACATCAGGTTAATTAATGAACCTAATAATGGTGGAACTAAGGAACTGGGCATCATTCACCTTCTTTATACATTTCTTAAGTAAATTAAGCAGCAGTAGTCATAGTAACAGTAGCAGTAGTTTGTAGTAGGCTACTCAGAGTACAGTAGTAGTAGCAGTAGTCAGTAGCAGTAGTTTGTAGTACTCAGAGTACAGTGGTGGTAGCAGTAGTCATAGTAACATTAGTATTCTCTCCTCCACACCGGAGCGCGCGCTGTGTGGTGCGTGGTGCGTAATCCGTGTCCGCGCTGTAGTCGGCGGCGCTGCGCTCCCTCCTGGAGCCGCTGTGCTCGCGGAGGATTCTCCTCAGAGCTCTCTGTGGACCTGATCTGTTCAAAGTCCCGGTTCCCGCCGTCAGCTCAGTCATAAACCGCCACCGGAGCCGCTGCTCGGTGTATCCGGATCCGATCAGCAGGGCGGAGCAGCGGGGAGAGGAACATCGATCCTCCGCCGTTTCTCTCCGATGTCTCAGCGTCCAGACTGTCAGAGGTCGGGCTCCGGACACCTCCGGACACCTCACCTGTAGCCTGGCTTTTCACAATAAAGCCTCTTTGGACTGTATGTTATTCCTGTTTATATGATCTCAGTGTGTCGGTGTCTGTGCAGCAGCCTGTTCACACCGGTCACCTCAAGTGTCCAAAGTAACTTCATATAGAGGAAGGATCACTGATACAGTGAAGTACCACAGCTTACAGTCCAGGCTGATACTACTACCACTCTGCAGAAACACCAGGCTACCGTGTATTAAAGTGTTTTCTACTAAGAAAAACACATCACCACAGTGATACTACACAACACAGGGAGTATCAGTGTGGATACTGCAGTAGTACTGTGTGAGTACTGCAGTAGTACTGTGTCAGTGCTGCAGAGGCAGTGTGGTCCTCCTCTGGACATTTGGAAGTAATCCAAAGATTGAGCTCAGCAGATTGTGTGACAGAAGATGGGCAGCACCGCAGAGAGGAGGGAGGAGGAGGAGCAGAGGAGCTGCAGGAGGAAGAGGAGGAGGCCGCTCAGACTTCACATGCCTGTAAGTGACTGACTGTTGTACTGTCTGTGTTAGCATGTGTTGAGGTGTGCTCAAACGAGCGTAGCACTGTGTTTTTCCTGCAGCTGTGAGGTGATCTGACTCTGGACCAGCTGTTAACATGTTCATCACTTTCAGCATCTGGCACAAACATGGCTGACAGGGCGACAGGTGGAGGTGACTGTCTGTGGGGTCAGACTGGACCACAATTTGTTCAGTCCTGCCCCCACCGCCTCGATCGGCACCACCAATACTATTGACTATTGGCAGTGATTGATCATTGGCACACCTGCTGTAAATCTAACACACCTGTTTTCAGTTGTTAGCTGTGTTTTTACATCCTGATAATGTCACGTTGCTCCTGTTCTGTGGTTTGTGCTCTGCTGTTAATCTGCTCCTTAATATTCAAAGACACGTGCTGTAAATACTGTAGACAACGAGCAGGAGGAGGGCGGGGCTAACAGGTGCAGCACCTGTCTGAAGAGGAAGAGTGAGATTAGAACTTTAAAACACTGGAGTCAGCATCACTTCATCTGACTCTCACCCACACCGCCACTGTGATGACGAGGCGAGAGTGAGACACACACACACACACACACACACACACACACACACACACACACACAGTCATGGGAAGTGCTCATCTGTGTGATGATGTCAGCAGTTGTGAGAATTTCGTGTGACGTTTGTGAAACTGTATCAAACACAATTAATCAATTGATGAGTGGCTTGTTAGATCTGCAGCCATTATTGATCAGTCTCAGTGCAGCTTCTTGTGACGTTGGATGAAATGTTTGGATGTTGAAGGACTCGTCAGACAGAAAGAGTGACATCATCATAACCCTCAGAAAACTGTGTTTGGCATTTTTTCTGACTAAAGATGAATTAATCAGGAAGCTGATCTGTAGATTAATCGATAATCATTAATTGTTAGTTGCAGAATCTTTTACATTGAATCTTCAGATTGAAGCGACGACACTGAGTCACTTCGCTTCAAACCTGCACAGGAGGAAAGGTGTGTAATGTAGATATAACTGATTGTTATTTCATCTCAGGTGGATGTTCAGGCTTTGATCTGCACATTAACAGGAAGCACCTGCCAGCAGCTCTACAGCTCCCAGGTCAGCGTGGAGAAACACCTGACAGTTCGGTGTCGGGGCGCTCCTCTGTCAGGCCTGTAGGGGGCGCTGACCCCACTTCAGACGTTAGTGTTGCACAAACTCCCTCCAGCTGCTATCAGCTGATTCTGAAGCAGTAAACTGTCTCAGGTCAGAGTTCATCATCTGAGCGATAAAACACTTTATGATGCTTCTTCCATGAATCATTAAACTTTTATTTATGACCCACTCAAGACTTTATTGTAAAAGATTGTTTATCTGAGGATTAACATAAAGTAAAAATTAGAACAGACAGTAAAACAGTTTGTAAAACTGACAGTAGAGAGGATTAGCAGCTGCACAGCCACAACAGACACCTTTAACTAAAGGAAGAAGCCTGATGTTAGCGGGTCTTTGACCAGTCAGCCATGACGCTTTATTCCTGTTGAAGAAACAAGTTTTATGTCTCGTTCCCACTTCTCCACGTGCTGTTTAGAGGTCAGTGTCAGTGAGACGTGACTGGCCTTCAGTACAAGGACATTAAAGACAGACTGTGACCCTGATGGAGACGACGGTGTCATCTGTGTAGAAATGGATGTTCTGAATCTGTAGATCAGGGCAGACCCCTCCTCTCTCCTCTGTGATCTGAGCTGCAGTCTGTTGACCCCCCCCCCACTGACGGCAGCTCTCAGCCCCCGATCTAACCTGAGGACAGCGCCACGTGTCCGAGGATTACAACAAACTGAAGCTTGTGTTTGGGTTTCTACTTTAACTCTACTGTAATCTGTTCTAATCTGTCTGTCGTCCAACAAATAGCCTGATCCCTGAGGGACAGGGACAGCACAGGTGTACACCAGGTGACTGTGGTGTGTATTTTACAAAGAGAGATCCAGAAGGTCGGAGTGACGGCACGCTGATTCACTGTGATGTCGTCTTTAGTGAAAGTACCGACACCACGAAATACTGCATCACAAGTTCAAGTCCTACAACTGCACCAGGTACTGTTCCCTGCTGACAGGACCTGTGTGTCGTCGTTCTGAAGAGATCTTTCAAAATAAAACCATAATCAATTTATACAATCGGCCTGATCAAACACAGTGTGTGAGTGTGAGTGTGTGAGTGTGAGTGTGGGTGTGTGTGAGTGTGTGTGTGTGAGTGTGTGTGTGTGTGTGTGTGTGTCTACAGTAACTGGGTCATTGAAAGCTGATCTCAGACGCTGTCAGGAGACATTTTTGTGATGATAGATCACCTTGTGATGACCTCACTGGAGAGGTCAGAGGTCACATTGAGGATCGACCTGGAGTCTTATTCCCAGTCCTGAACCTGCAGCCACTCAGTGTTTGACTCATCAGTTATTTCTCCTTTCAGGTGTTCCTCTCATGTTCCCACAGAACCTGCAAGTAGGAACCAGTAAAAACCAGTCAGTGTTTTACTGGCACCAGTGTCACCACTCCGTAACTCACAGGCCGGATTATGAAGTGGACAGAAAACCAGATACTTTTATTTGATACTTTAACTACATGAAGTACTTTTACTGTGAAACCTTCAACTTTCCAGCAGGTTAAAGGAGAGTGAGCACAAACACCAACATGTCACCTACAGGCCACAGAGCTGCTCCACATCACACCTTGGGGGTGGAGGAGGGAGGAGGGAGAGGGAGGAGGGAGGGAGATGGAGGAGGGAGGGAGGGGGAGGAG